CCTTCGAAAAGGATTATTATTAAAGAAAAAAAATTTTTAATTAAAAATCTGTAAAATATTTTTGTTAAAATAAAAAACAAATCCATTTTTTTGGAATATAAATCGACTGAAATGACTTTTTGTGTCTTTAAGTTGATTCCAGGCCTGTATTTTTATAATTAATATTTAATAGGTATTCGTTGGCCCCTGGTACCTTAAAAATTAATTTTTAAAAATAAATTTTTTTAAATTACTATCTTGTACTATTCAAAAAAACACGTGAAATCAGAAAAGGTCAACTTCAAGTTACGACAGAAGGACAGACCAAGCATTTTATTATTATATTTAACCAACATAAAATAATGTCAAACAACACATTTAAAAAAAACAAAAGACCTGTAACAAATACTAACTTCAGGTGTGGACAGAATGAACGAAAGATATTCACGATTATTATATGTAATTTTTCATTAATTTTTAGAAATTTCAGCTAAAATGTGAATTTTTGATTTTTTTAACTTCAATTAATTCTTTAAATTTAACTCAAATGTTTATATTATTATATTATTTTTGTATGTTTATTTCATTGTTAATTCTTTCTCCACGAGGAAGCAAATTTTTTTTTGCTGATCGTAAAGAGGAAGCAAAATGTTCATGTAATGAACATCTGAATTTACAACTTGTCTAATTCGAGTCCTAATTATCAATGTTTAAATCTTGTCTCCTTGATTTAAGCAATTTCAAATTAAGGAAAATTTTCTTTTGTCATAGTTACCACACCCCCAGAGACAGCCATAATTTTTGCTAAACACATTCAACTGTAGGATTTTCCTTCCATTAGGATAAATTACTTTTCTTCTTCATGGCGTCACTTAAGTGGACTCGGCGGGTGGTAGGTATAGGTACAAAAAGACGGGACGATAATGATGCAATGTACGCCTCTAATTTTCTTCAAATTTTCAAAAAAAAACTGAAATTTTCAAAAATTAATTAATTTTTAATGTAAAATAATTTAATAAAATAAATTAAATTAAATAATTAATATTATTAATTAATTTTAATTCTAAAATAAGTGTCGTTAAACAATTTTTTTTTTTGAATTATTAACAATTGAAATTTTTAGTAGTCTTAAATAAAAAAAAAAATAATCAATATAACTAGTTCCAATTGACTATAATTTAAAAACAAGAAGGATATTTTGTCTTTAAAGTAGTATTAAAAAATAATGTTTTTGTTTTATAAAATTTATATTTTTATTAATTTTTTAAATTATTTATTTACAAAATGTTAATAAAAAACGTGAAAATTTTTTTTTATTAATACTATTTTAATTCACTTTTACATACAATATTGATAAGATGAAATGAAAAAAAATGTACATGTCAACGTTCATTCCACGTTGAAAAAACAAGTTCTCGTCCGATCACTTAAGTTAAGCAACGTTGGGCGCGGTTAGTACTTGGATGGGTGACCGCTTGGGAATACCGCGTAATGTTGACATTTTTTTTTTTTTTGCTTTTTATTTAATTTTATTAATAAAATGAAAAAAAAAATCTTACCAAATTCAACTACTTTTCTTTTTAATGTTAAATGAATTTTTAATTAATTAATTCAAAGATTTTTTTAATGCTTTTTCTTTTTTTTTTTTTATATTAATAAAAATTTTACTAACTTCAACTGCTTTCTTTCAATATTAAATATAATAACATTTTAATTAATTAAATTTAAAGATTAATATATTTTAAAAAATTTAATCTTTTACTCTATTTACACAGATCGATAATAACGAAATTAAAACATTTTTGCTCGTTATTATTTGTAACTAAAAATATTTACGATTATAATTTATTTATAATTTATTTATAATTTATTTATAATTTATTTATAAATAATATTAAAAGGACAAATAAAAATTTGATCAAATAGAAATTGTGTGTAGTAAAAGTTCGTTTATATAAAAATTCTGCAACACAATAAATAAATATAGAAAATCGGTTTAATGAAAATTCTATCAAAAAATAATTCAAATAAATAAAAATTCGGCTAAAAAATGTATTTTATCTATAATAAAATTTTATCAAATAAAAATTCTAATTAATTTTAGACATTTATGCGTCTTAAAAATAAGATATATATAATTTTTAAACATTTGATTAAACATGTTGTGAAGAAAAAAACAAACAGAATTTTTTTTTTATATTTATTTAAGTAGAAACGTTCAAATAAAAATTAATATATTTTTTTTTGACAAAAATCATTGGGAGTGAATAATTATTGTCCGAGTGGGGACGTGAAACACGTAATATGATGCAAGAGTGGGGGAAATTTGTTATGTGGGGGTACTTTGTTCCACCTCCATAATGCCCATTTAAGAGGTTAGAGTGGGGAAGAATGGGCCCTATAGTTTCTTGGTTAAAGGTAGTTACGGCTTGCATATTGATTTTACATTCATTATTCGGCAGTCTGTTTTGTGAGAAACATGTGTTCTCTCTTCGCGTTATCTAAGTTGGAATTATTTGAAATTTTCCATTAATTTTACATCACATGGAAAGAAAATAAATATCAAATTTTTATAAAATTATTTTCAAATATTAAATTATTTTCAAGTCGTAGAATATATATAAGAAATACTGATCATTAAAAGAATTTTATGAAATTTACAATATATTTATATTAAAATTTTGTAATATTTAATTAGTGATATTAAATTTTATTAACGTCTGTATTAAATTTATAAAAGTTTTTCTAAACTTTAGAATTATATAAAAATTATGCTTTTTAGCCTATTTTTCACGATTTGAAAATAATTTGATAAAATTTGAGATATTTTTATAAAATTTGATATTTATTTTCTTTCCGTGTAGTTAAATTATTTTTTGTAATGAATTATATCTTTAAATTATCAAAGTGAAACTTATTTTAAATAAAAAGTGAATTTTTAGATTTTTTTTGGTGAATTAAATATGTGCGTGTTTGCAAGTGTAAATTATTTTAAAATGAAAATTGTATTTTTATTATTTTGTGCTAGATAAGCGAATTATAAATTATTAATTTTTCAAGTGCAAATTATTTCAAATTGAAAATGTGTTTAAATTTTAATACGTTAAAAATTTAATAATAAATATGTTCGAAAGTGATAAACAAAATTTTCTGCAAATGGTTCTACTCGAAAGGTTTGTGGAGATTGGAAATTTTTGCTTCAAAATATTTTGAAATCGAATCTTAAACTACAACGATAATTAAATAAGCAGTCATTATTGGTAAGTTACATCATTATTTTCATAAATTTGAGTATGTAATTATCAATTTAAAAAAATTTTTCTTTTCGAATTTTTGAACACTCTTTTTGCATGATGAAAAGAAAAAATTTTTCTATTTTCTTTAGTTAGAAAATAAAATTTTAGTAATTTATAAGAAACGAAAAAGTTTTTATAGAAAATAAAAATTAAAAAATTGAATTTTATTTGAAAATACAAAATAGAAAAAAATGAAAAATAATGAGATATTTCTTTTTTTTGGAATAAATGGATCCCAATATTTTTAATATTTATTAATTAAATATAAAATTTTAGAAAATAAAAATTTAGAAATTGCATTTTATAAGAAACGAAAAATTTATATGGGGAAATAAAATTAAAAATTGAATTTTATGGCAAAATGAAAATTAAATAAAAGGGGGATGCATGATTATAATGTTCTAAAAATCATAAGTTAGAATTTTCATTTTATGGAATTTCATTTGTCATAAGTATTTTTGAGCCAAATTTTTTATTTGTTTGAATTAGTATTTTGCAAAATTCACTTCACAGAATTTTCATTTGTTCGAATTTTTATTTATTTGCTCAAATAATAATCAACCAATATTAAATTAATAATCAACCATTAAAATTGTGATTAGTTGATTTTAAAAATCGCGCCAAAATCGATTGTTTGTTCGGCCATTTGCAATTTCGGACAAATAAAAATTCTATCAATTAGAAATTCTGTTAAATAATTTTAAATAATTCTATCTAATTAAAATTTTTTAAAATGCCTATTATGTTAAATAAAAATTCGTGTAAATAAAAATTCTAACAAAAAAAAAAATTCGAACAAATAAAAATTCTGTGAAGTGAATTTTCGGTTATATAAAAATTCTGTAATATATAGAAAATCATTTTGATGAAATTTTTTTAAAATACTAATTTGAACAAATAAAAATTCGGCTCAAAAATAATTATATGATAAATGAAATTCCATAGAATTAAAAATTCTAACTAATTAATTTTCGAACATAATCATGCGTCCCAAAAAAGGGTACATTATAAAATATTTTTATTCAAAAAAGGTGGATCCCAACATTTTTAATATTTAATTCTCTCGTGAATAGCATCTTAAATAATACTTTGAAATTTATATTACATATATTTAAAGGTACGAAGTAGTTATTTTGAGAAATTGTGGAGATTTTAAATTGTACTTCATCATGAAAGATGAGAAAATTTTTTATAATTAATAACATTTTTCATACGGAACTCAAAATTAAGGAAATATTAAACTCTGAATTTTTCTTACATTTTTTTTTATTACTTTTTGGCGCTAATTTTTTTCATAACTCTTTTTACATGTTTTTGAATAATTTTATTAATGGTACAAATTTTATAAATTATTGAAAAATTATTTACATTACAATTATCAAGAAAGATTCTTTATTGCCTTTGCAGATCTAATTTTTTGCATTTTCACTTTCCATTTATATATTTCATTTTGATTTGTTGAATTTATAATTTAAGGCCAGGTCCAAGTGAGGCAGCGCCATCTACATTGATACTAAAATTTTGGAAAATTTTCAACAGCCTTTTCTTGAAAATAAGATGGTAAAATGCTTTTTCCTTTATGGATAATTGATTATTGGCAAGATATACACCAGCTAAAACTTTTTTTGAGTTAAAATAATAAAAAAAATTTCATGTCAATAAATTAAATATGAGCACTTTTTTCACGAAAACTGTAACAGTACTTTCTCAGAAATTACAATCAAAAATGCAATTTCCATTTGGAAAATTAATAAACGCTAAAAAATACAAGACCTAAGATTTACCAATCACGAAAATAAGAAAAAAAAAGTATTTTAACATAACATATTTTACTCATTATGACAGCCGTTTGGCAGGTTATATATGTCACCAGACGTTTCGCAGTTTTGCAGAAAGGAGGAGATTGGCGCTGTTGCTAACCACCTGAAATACATAATCTACCAAAGGGCTGTCACAATCAGTAAAGCAGTATCAATATGTTAAATATTTAATAAAATATTTTTTTCTTATTTTCGTGATTGGTAAATCTTAGGTCGTGTATTTTTTAGCGTTTATTAATTTTCCAAATGGAAATTGCATTTTTGATTGTAATTTCTGAGAAAGTACTGTTACAGTTTTTGTGAAAAAAGTGCTCATATTTAATTTATTGATATGAAATTTTTTTTATTATTTCAACTCAAAAAAAGTTTTAGCTGGTGTATATCTTGCCAATAATCAATTATCCATAAAGGAAAAAGCATTTTACCTTCTTGTTTTCAAGAAGAGGCTGTTGAAAATTTTCCAAAATTTTAGTTTCAATGTAGATGGCGCTGCCTCACTTGGACCTGGCCTTAATTAAAATTGTTGCGTACGATTTTGTGAATTTTCGTTTAAATTTCGAAAGTCGTGGGATGCGCAATTATTACATCAGTTGGATTCCAAATAATAAAGTTGAAGATAGCTTTTTTAAATAATACTTTATTATTAAAAACTAGATTCCCGGAATACAATTTACTTCGGTTGTATTCTCTTGTTCTGAATACTACATGCTGTTTCTAAGTTTATATAGTCTTTTTGATAAGGTATAACAATATAATTCCTTGATTTAAAAGTATTTTAATCATATATAGAAATTACACAATGAGTGTAATGAAGATCTAGATTAAGTACATAGTATGTATCAAAAGATCGAAAGAATTGAAATACGTAATTGATTAAATAAACCTTATTTGGTAATTTAGAGAACATATGTGATTTGACATAGTTTTAATCGGTTTTAATAAATCGTAGAAAAGATGGAAACATAACATTCGTTATATGTAAAAAATGTCTTCTCTTTAATCCATTCTACACCTGGTATATTTTGATCCCTATTTTTAATTTCCCTATAAATTTTCATTATTTCAATGCATTTATCCTTTGCGAGAAGTACCATATTGTCAGGATTTTTTATACTAAGCACTGCTTGTTAAAATTTTATTTTTAATATGTCTCAACAATTTTCTTTTATTATTGATAATAACTATATGGAGCAGGGGTGACTTTCTTCTTTCTAAAAAAACATTTCTTGCATACGATTGCAAAGTTGTTCCAAAGGTTTATTACCTGTACGCAAAGTTCTTTTCATTTTACCTATAACAAATTATAAAAAGGCATAACTATTAATTAAACTTAAATGACAATTCATGTTTCATACATCATCTGCAATGTGAAGAAGTTTATGCAAATTAATTGAACTAGAAGATTTTCCATAAAATTTTATCATAAGTAAAACAAATCTATTTAAATCATATCTTAGCTTTGTCATTATATTTTACAGCCAATTTTATAGAACACAAAATTCTCCAACTGGTAAAAAGTAACAAAAAATGATTGTAAAATTGAGTCAACATTTTTTTAATACTACAATACCGGTTCATTTTCGTGACATTAGCATTCCTGGTGTTATTGATCAGCTTCATTTCAGCAATATTTTCCAAGTTGAAGTTTTTTTCATTGAACATTTGTGTGTAATTGAAATTCAAACACCTCATAATACCTCATAATACTTGAATTGTTAAATTTCTTGTCCAAAGGTCGTTTTCTTCTGAGTTTTTCTACGGCTTAATATCTTGGTTGACAAGCCTTATGTAATTTTACAAAGGTATCCGTAGAGAACCTTTGGAGTAAATTCTCCTTTTTTTTATTGACAAAATATATAAATATATATTTTTTATACCAAATGGTCCGCAATCAGTAATAGCACAAATTGACAATATTAATTAGTTGTCGTTTGTTGCTGTCCTGTCAGGATCGCCAAAATTTTTATGTCACGGATAAAATGAAGAATAAATAATAAGTTACAAATTTAAGTATACTTTTATTTGACTTTAAACTTCATAATTTTTAGTATAATTGTTCTTAATTCTGAGGTCGGAGAATATCTGAATCTTTGATGATAAAGGGCACATTATATAAGGTTAAGGTTTCAACATACAAGCAGATATGTTACAATTGTCAATTTCATTTTGCTGATTGGAACATAAAATATGTTTTGATGTTGTTTATTAAAATAAACTGTTCTCTAGGTACAGGTATAATAAATTGTTCGCCATGTTTTTCCGGTATGAGAATTAGATGTTGAATTCGATCTTCATCGTATTCTAATAATGGGATTTTAATTGAGTAAATTAAATTTTGGCTATCAATAACAATAATTATTTCGGATATATCGATGATATGTTGGAACATATGTTTATTTAAAGGAATGCCAAATTTTGTGTTATATTTATTTTCAAAATCTGTATCTATTAATAAGAATGGTGTTAATATTTGAGGGTGTACTATACCATGCTTTCCATCATTAATTGAATCTATTAACAAACTTACGTCTTGACTTAATTCGTCTACAAGCATTGCAATGATGGAAATTTGATTGGATAATATTATATTTTTGGTATTATCATTTACTCCTTTTGTTAGACGGTTAAATTACTCTATGTTTTCATTACTTTGCTTTAATAATAATTCAGGACTATATGATGAGTCTAAAGTGCTTTTCATTACTTTTGTCTGCCTTTTTATAGAGCTTGCAAGAATTGCGTTATTTTCGTAGACAGTGTTGCTTGACACCTCGATGAAGTAGCTGACGTATTTGCTGCTTTTTTCTTGCTTTATTTCTTGTCCAAAGGTCGTTTTCTTCTGAGTTTTTCTAAGGCTTAATATCTTGGTTGACAAGCCTTATGTAATTTTACAAAGGTATCCGTAGAGAACCTTTCAAGTAAATTCTCCTTTTTTTATTGACAAAATATATAAATATATATTTTTTATACCAAATGGTCCGCAATCAGTGATATCACAGTTTGACAATATTAATTAGTTGTCGTTTGTTGCTATCCTGTCAGGATCGCCAAAATTTTTATGTCACGGATAAAATGAAGAATAAATAATAAGTTAAAAATTTAAGTATACTTTATTTGACTTAAAACTTCCCAATTTTTAGTATAATTGTTCTTAGTTCTGAGGTCGGACTATATCTGAATCTTTGATGATAAAGGGCACATTATATAGAGTTAAGGTTTCAACATTATTATCTTATCAATATGGGTTCGATTGATACGTTGACATTATTTAGACAATGCATTGCACCTGTGGCTTATGAAATTACATGTTTTTCATAGAAATATAATGTAATGTGTAATTTTTATCTAAAGTCGTTGCTAACTTCTTGTAATTTATCGAGAACTTGGTATCTTTTTAATTCTTCATCATCTTGTATGGATTGCTTCAGACAGTCATCGATTTTATGACATGCTGAATAATACATATTGTCAAATATGTTGGATTCGAAATAAAGAAACTAACTTTAATTTCTAAACTTTATTGAAAGTTTTTTAACTAGTGGATGTAGAATTGGGTAACTTAATATCATAGATTTCTTCCATATCTTTGAAACTTCTTTTATGTGGAGGTTGGAATCAAAGTTGCAATTGATGAAATTTTTTATAATTGGAAATAAAATTTGTCCTGTAACTAAATCCAATGTGAAACAGTGCTACATTCTAAGATGTACATAATAATGATTTTAAATGTATATTTTTGACAATGCTATTATATAAAATATTATATAATTATTTTCTTATTTACAAAGAAAAAAAATTTCAATTCGCAATTTTTATTAGTATTATTTTATAATTATTAAATATTTATTTATTAAGTAATAATTAATAAACATTCATTTTATAAAAAAACAAATATTGCCGAAAACAATTCAATATTAAGAATTATTATTATTTTTTAAAAGCATTCATTCTTTATACGTTGCATACATCACGGACACTCTTAGTCATATTTTTTTTATCTATTAGTACAATGGTTGTGAGTTAGAAATTTTGAAAACATGAATCATCAATATTACATATAACTACTATTGATTTTTGGGATTAAGATTTATAAAATTTGAGAAAAAAAATCTTGTTTAGTTACATATTTTTAATATGTCGCAGAGCATAAAATAACCAGCGAATTAACATTAAAATCAGAAGCTAAACAATAATCTGTACCTTCATTGTAAATCAAGTTTTTAAAAATAATAATAATTGATAATAATTAGTAATAATACAAATACAATAGTATACAAATAATAATAATAATAATACAAAATAGTAATAATAATAATTAATAATAAATATTTAATTATTATACTAATAATTGACAACGTCCTTATGTGTTATGTGACTTTTAAACAGATACATATATATTTTATAAAGATATGGATAACTAAAATAATGTATTTTAACCACTCCTTAAGGAAATAATGATGTAGTTTTGGATGAAGCAAAAAAAAGTTTACTGAAAACAAAAATTACATATTTTAATTAAGAATTAAATTACTTTTTTTTAATTTAAATTAAATTTACCACTTTAGAATTCCTTGTTGAACATACTAATAATAAATATTTTCTTTTTTTTTATGCCAATACATAATTTGTGTAATTTCGAGAAAAATTTTAATTTCTAGAATTTCTAGTAAATTATATATTTAGGAAATTTAAAATATTTACATGTTTGTAAAAATTTAAAGACTATTTCTATTAATTGTAATAAAAGAAAAAATATGTTTGACAATTAAAGTATTTAAATTATTTAACACATATTAATAATTCCAATTTTAAATAATTACATCTTAATATAATATTATTCCTTTGACTTATCTAAGTCAGAACTGAAATTTTAGCACATAATAATTGTAATTTTATGTTTTATAATTGACATCTTTCTTTTATTCTATAAATAGATAGTTTTCCCTATCTATTTATGCAAATTTCACTGGTAGTAGGGTTGAATTTTTTTTTTTAATTTTGTTCAAAAAATAGCCGATCTGTAAATGCAACAGATTGCTTGGAATAACTTAATATTCAGCTGTGAGATCTGAAAAGTGAATTCTAAAATGAAATTGGAATTTCAAAAATTTTCGAATAACTTAGTAAGCAATCAGAATGGCGGATACAAGAGTGAACCAAAGCTTACATGGCTAGAACATACGAAATAACCAACTACACATGGATTTCTTAATTTAAGAAAGATATACAATTTTAATACATTAAATTACGTTTAAAAAACAAATATAAGAAAAAAAAATTATAACTATTTTTACTTCTATAACATATTTAAAAATCGTATAAACAAATGTTAAAATTATTGAGTTAAATTCTTTTCAGTGTTAAATTTTTTAAACTACTTTATTTGCTACTAATGTCTATGTTTTTAATTCACAAAGTTTATTTATATAATTTTTTATTCTATTAACTTTTAAATTTGTGTTTCTAATTAAAATATTTTAAATTACACAAAATTGTGTATTTGTGTAATTACTTTTGTATTGCATACATTTTATTTGTTCAACAATATATGGAAATAATTGACGTCCTTTTGGTTAAAATACATTTGTAGTTTAAATTGTAAAAATTAAATAAGTTTGTTGTCAATGGAAAATTAAATAATATTTTGAATTTATTAAAAAACATACTTTAAATGATTTATTATTGCTTAATTATTTCAATTATTATGAATAACAAAAACAGATGTTCAAAAATTTTGTCCCAAATTTCAATCAAAAGTATATTTAAAGAAATTGTCACACACTATTTTCCAAAACAACACATATTTTTAAATTTAATACTGAACTTGTTTTTTTAATGATTTCTTCAAATGGAATGATTCCCACTCCATTTCTTTAGATAAAAATAATGTGATTATGAGTCAGGCCTAATATAGGGGACTCAAGTTAACAAAAAGAATATATCAAAGAAAAGAGAGAATTTTTATTTTAACAATTTTTACAATATTTTGATTAATAATTTTTAATTATAAATTGTTTTCAACAATTGTTATTTAACTAATTATTATAAAATTATATATTATTAATAAAGAACATTTAATAATTTGTATACTTTATTTTTAATTATTATTATTAAATGTTTATTTATTAATTATTAATTAATAAATATTAATTTTTTTATAAAAGATATTGTAGAAAGCATTCAATATTTTTAACATTCATTCAGTAAACCATAACACATGTCACGAACCATTATATAAGGTTAAGGTTTCAACATACAAGCAGATATGTTACAATTGTCAATTTCATTTTCGCTGATTGGAACATAAAATATGTTTTGATGTTGTTTATTAAAATAAACTGTTTTCTAGGTACAGGTATAATAAATTGTTCGCCATGTTTTTTCGGTATTGAAATTAGATGTTGAATTCGATATTCATCGTATTCTAATAATGGGATTTTAATTGAGTAAATTAAATTTTGGCTATCAATAACAATAATTATTTCGGATATATCGATGATATGTTGGAACATATGTTTATTTAAAGGAATGCCAAATTTTGTGTTATATTTATTTTCAAAATCTGTATCTATTAATAAGAATGGTGTTAATATTTGAGGGTGTACTATACCATGCTTTCCATCATTAATTGAATCTATTAACAAACTTACGTTTTGACTTAATTCGTCTACAATCATTGCAATGATAGAAATTTGATTGGATATAAGATTATATTTTTGGTTTTATCATTTACTCCTATTGTTAGACGGTTAAATTTCTCTATGTTTTCGTTACTTTGCTTTAATAATAATTCAGGACTATATGATGAGTCTAAAATGCTTTTCATTACTTTTGTTTGATTTTTTATAGAGCTTGCAAGAATTGCGTTATTTTCGTACAATTTGTCAAGTTCTGAATTTACATAACTTAAATCGCTTTCTTTTAATGTTCAACGAATCGAAAAAAGACTGACAGTTATGAATAATTTACAAATTTATCTAATTTTGAATATTATTTTATTTATTTTCTTACTTTTATTGCCTTCGGTTGAGGGATTTGTGAAGAGTGGCCGTAGACACTGTTGCTTGACACCTCGATGAAGTAGCTGACGTATTTGCTGCTTTTTTTTGCTTTATTTCTTGTCCAAAGGTCGTTTTCTTCTGAGTTTTTCTAAGGCTTAATATCTTGGTTGACAAGCCTTATGTAATTTTACAAAGGTATCCGTAGAGAACCTTTGGAGTAAATTCTCCTTTTTTTTATTGACAAAATATATAAATATATATTTTTTATACCAAATGGTCCGCAATCAGTGATATCACAGTTTGACAATATTAATTAGTTGTCGTTTGTTGCTATTCTGTCAGGATCGCCAAAATTTTTATGTCACGGATAAAATGAAGAATAAATAATAAGTTAAAAATTTAAGTATACTTTTATTTGACTTAAAACTTCACAATTTTTAGTATGTTCTTAGTTCTGAGGTCGGAGAATATCTGAATCTTTGATGATAAAGGGCACATTATATATGGTTAAGGTTTCAACATTATTATCATATCAATATGGGTTAGATTGATAGGTTCACATTATTTAGACAATACATTGCACCTGTGGCTTATGAAATTACATGTTTTTCATAGAAATATAATAGAGAAAAAATTTAAATAAAAAGAAAAGAAAAAGTAACATCAAATACTAGAATATTACAAAACGTATGTATGTTCAAAGATAAGCTGTGTTTCGTATTTTCTATGTCTTATGCATATGGTTGGGAAAGTGTCAGGTGTATAAACAATATTTTCAGAAAATTGTGTGTTTCCTTGATTCTAACATATAATTTATTTAAATTTCACTGAGTTAAGAACCTGCGTAGAATGTACATTCAGTAAATATCAATAATTGAATATCTATTCCTGACTTCTGCTTTTCTTGCAATATACACACACTTCATTTCATCATGGACATTCTACCTCAAAATTTTAGAATCTTATGGTTTTGTGGCCTATGGAGTGAAAATGATAAATTTTCTCCAATTTTTTTCATTCATAAACTATTTGTTTTATTTCTAATTTCACACGTTTCACTGGGTCAAGTTTTATATGTTTTAATAACAAGTAAAAATATTAAAGAATTAACAAATGGTTTAGTATTTACTGTCACATTTGTCACACTTTGTATAAAATTAATAAATTTTTTGTGCAATGCAAAAAATATGAAACAACTTTTAAATATTTTTCGTGATAATATTTGTCAGCCAATATTTTGGGAGGAGGAAAAAATTTTAAATAATTATAGAATAAAAAATTTACGATTATTTTTTGCATTAATGATTATATCACAAAGTGTAAGTTTAACATACATAAGTCAACCAATTTTTAAATCAAGAGAAATAATACAACTACCACTTCAAATTTATGATCCTTTTCATACTACTGATGTTATGATATTAAAATTTTTTTATGCAATGCAAATTTTTGAATGTACATATTCAGTTTGTTTACATATGTGTTTTGATACAATGTTATTTGGTTTTGTAAATTTAATATGTGCTTTGTTCGATATACTTTGTTTTCGACTAGAGATGATGAGTAGAAAAGAAAATTTGTCTGAATTGTCATTTAAGCATTGCTTTAAATTGCATATTGTTATATTAAAAATTTTAAAATATATGAATTCTGTCTTTATGGGAGCAATTTCAATTATGTTTGTTCTTATTCTTTTTGTCATCTGTAGTGGTATTTTTCAAATTACTGAGGTTAGACACTATTTTTATTACTATACTTTTTTAATACTGAAGAATTAAAAAATAATTAAAGTGACATTTTTGAATTCATTTAGAAATCCTCAAAATTTAATGCAGATAAAATAATATTATTATATTTTATCTCATATATTATTGGACAAGCATATGTTTACTGTTGGTATGGAACAGAACTTGAAGAGAAGGCAATACATCTTTTCTTTTTAAATAAATAATAATAAATAAATTTAAATAAATTCTACATATCTTTTCAAATTTAATAGGTTAAAAAATTGGCTTTAACTGCTTATGAAGTTGATTGGTCCTGTGCATCTGCTACAGATATTAAAAATTTGTCATTTATGATTTTAATTGCTCAAAAAGGATCAACTATTTCCTATAAAGGAATCTGTACATTAAGTCATGAAACCTTTGGCTTGGTTAGCAAGTATACATATATATAAAATAGTTAAATTTTTTAAAATAAGAAAATAATATTTCTTTACTTTATTTCTGTAGATAATAAAGTCATCTTATGCTGCATTGAATGTACTAAAAAGTTATTCTGAAATTTAAAAAATGAAACTTTATGAAACTAAAAATTATTTAATATAATAATATTTGAATTACTTTAAATCACTTTAAAACCTTGTGACTAATTGCGCCGTTCGAAACTTGATTCGACCAACCGAAAAAAATTAAAAAAAAGATTATTATATATTGCACTGTGAAAAATTATTTTAAAATCGAAAATTCATATAAAATAATAATAAATACTAATAATTTAAATATAATATATAAAATGGGCACCGTGTATAACTTACCCTTAATTTTCATTTTGCCATAAAATTGACAACGTCGCATTTTCCATTTCATGGTTTTTAACAAAGTAGAAAACATATGGAATCATGAAACCCTTATGAAAAACGTAAGATTTTGTATTTATATAAATTTATTTAAACTTCTAATATTTCTATATTCAATCATCCATTTCTTTATCAACTACGTGGATTGTCAAAAAAAAAAAATTCAAAAAATGTTTCAAATCGATTCTTTGAAATTGAATGAAACTAAAACAAATCTTCTACAGCTCCATCATTATGAGGAGGTAAGAAAATTACAATCTGATGTACATGAGTGGTTTCTTCACTAAATCGATTTTGAAAGTATAGCTCAAACATTGTCCAAGCGAATTCAATCTAAAATTATATATCTTTTGTATTATCAATCGATTTATATAGAAAACTTTCAAGTAAACAATATATTAAAAAAATATAATCAATTCTTAAATACTTGAAAAGATTAAACATTCCTAAATTTTACTACTTTTTTATTTTTTTATCATGGTACAAAAATTTTTTAAAATATTTTATGCAATAGTATTGTAAGAAAGGGAAACAACAATATCTTAAAGACAATTGACTGTTATGTATTTCCTTGATTCTAACATGTAATTGATTTAATTTTGTGGTATATATAAACCCCGTCTTCAGAATGTAACTTCAATACATGTAAATAATTAAATAGCTCCTTCCGTTGTGTACATATTCCTGGAGTACAAAATTTATTTCAAAATGGATATTCTTCTACAAAACTTTAGAACATTATGGCTTTGTGGTCTATGGAATGAAAATGAGAAATTTTCTCCATTAATTTTCATATACAAAATAATAGTTCTATTTCTAATATCTCACATTTCATTGGGACAAGTTTTATATGTTTTTGCTATAAGTAAAAATGTTAAAGAATTAGCAAATGGATTAGTATATACCGTAACATTTGTGACACTTTGCGTTAAACTTGGCAATTTTTTATTTAAAATAAATGATATGAAAGGACTTTTAAAAATATTTCGTAAAGATATTTGTCAGTCTGTATTAATAGAGGAGAAGATAATTTTTAATCACTATAAAATTAGAAATGAAAGATTTTTTATTATTATAATGATTGTTTCACAAAGTATAAGTTTAACATATACAATTTTGCCACTTTTAAAATGGAAAGAAAAACTTGAATTACCATTTAAAATTTATGATCCTTTTTATATAAAAAATTTTACAGCAATAATAATTTTATATATAATTCAAGTTATTGAATGTTTTTATTCAGTTTCATTAAATGTATGTTTTGACACAATGGTCTGTGGATTCATTAATTTGACATGTTGTTTGTTTGATATATTATGTCTAAGATTAAGAAATATCAGTAGGAAAAAAAATTTGTCTTCCATATCAATGAAAAATTGCTATAAAATGCATATTGTTGTTTTACAAATTTTGGAAAATATAAATTCTTTTTTTATGGGATCTGTAACAATTGTGTTTCTGCTTATTCTTTTGGTCATCTGCAGTGGAATTTTTCAATTAACTGAGGTTAATTATTTATTAATTTGACTTTTTTTAATTGACATATTAATCAATAAAATGTAAATATATATTTTCTACAGAAATCGTCAACAATAAATGCAGATAAAATTATATTACTTTATTATGTTGCCTTTATAATTTTTCAAGCATACGTGTACTGTTGGTTTGGAACTGAACTTGAAGAAAAGGTTCTTGATTTTTTTTTAAAATGATATATTTAGTTAGGGCAGACTGGAAATAATTAATACGATTTTAATAAAATCAGTTATACAGTAATAAAATTTTAACTAACCGGGGTATCAACGAACCTAGTTTTTCCTAAATTGATTCAATTTTTTCATATCTATTAATTTTTAATAGGTTAAAAACTTGGCTATCACTGCTTATGAAATTGATTGGTCCTGTGCATCTGTAACAGAAGTAAAAAATTTGTCTTTTATGATATTAATTGCTCAAAGAGGATCCAACGTTTCTTATAAAGGACTTTGTACTCTCAGTCATGAAACATTTGGTTTGGTATGAAAATAAATTTAATCAAATTACTAAGAATAAAAATTAAAATTTCTTTAGACAATTATAATTTAATGAAAATAGAATAGAAAATAATTAAATTACTTAAAAATAAATGTTGACAATTTTTATATATTCTTAGATAATGAAGTCATCATATGCAGCACTCAATTTATTAAAGAATTATTCGTAAATTAAAAAAAAATATATTTTTCGTCTATTTTAACTGTATCTCTTAAATAATGTAATATTATTTATTTCATATATACAAACAAATCGTTTGTAAATTTATTGGACTGAAGATAAAAAATTCGTTTGTATAATATTAAAATTATTATTTTTATTAAATAGAACGTCTTATATAAAACTTTTGTTGTATTGTGTTTCAATTTGGAAAACGTTGGAGCAATTGACAACAGATATGAAACTTTCATTCTCTTATTTTTCCAATCCAGTAGTTGCCTTTTTCGAGCATGAATTATTTAACTCGTAACATGTAGATTTTTACGGGTTTTTATACAGCCTCTACAATCCAAAACGAATGATCTAAATTCTAATTCTAAATACAATAAATTGTCTTTTTTTTATAAGTATTAAATGTTTATTTATTAATTAATAAATTAAAAAAATATTTATTTCATGAAAAGTACAGAAAAATCAACAAGTCGGAAGTTTAGAATTTTGACTCATGATTGAACTTTATGATAGTAATAGCACTAAAAGATTTTAAACATTATTTACACACAAGTTCACCTTTGTCAGAGCGATATTTTGAAATTGTTTAAAATCACAAAAATACAAGAGAATTATAGCATTGCTGGAAGTAAGAAAATTATACGCTCCAATATGTCTCAAGGAAAATCGAAGTAGAAATTATAGTTTAAACAACATAAATACAACTTTGAGTACGAATCTAAAATTAAAAATAAATTACGTTATTGTTTATTTTTAACAATTTTGCAAAAGTATTAAATTTTAAAAAAAATAAATGTCATATTTTGTGTAACGTTAGGAATTTTAAACTTATATTATTGTAAAATATTTTAATCAATAAGGACGTAAGAAAAGGAGCAGGTGCTTCAAGAACATCTTTAGAAAATTGGCAGTTGTGCACTTTATTGATTGTAAAATGTAAATGACTTAGTACTGTAGTACAAAGACCCTCGATAGATTGTTTATTCAATAAATTTCAAGAACTGACTTTACATTTCGTGTGTCGATGATGTTAGCTTTCTTCTATCATTCCTTATTTGATCATGGATGTTCTGCCTGAAAATTTTAGAACCTTATGGTTGTGTGGTTTATGGCACGAACACAAAAAATTTTCTTTAACATTTTTCATCTATAAAATATTAATTTTATGTTTGATTTGTCATATCTCATTAGGTCAACTTTTGTTTGTATTTGTAACAAGTAAAAGTGTTAAGGAATTAACAACTGGTTTAGTATTCACTGTAAAATTCATTGAATTATGTGTTAAATTAATAAACTTTTTATTTAAAAAGAAAGAAATGGAAAAATTATTGACTATTTTTCGTGAAGATATCTGTCAAGGAATATTACGAGAGGAAATATTTATTTTAAATAAATATAGAATAAAAAATCGTCAATTCTTCTGGATATTTTTAATTGTCTCGGAAAGCATGACCACCATATATATGATACAATGTGTTTTAAATTGGAATGAAAATATGGAATTACCTTTTCAAATTTATGATCCATTTAATTTTACTGACTATTCGATGATGATACTTTTCTATATTACAGAAGTGATAGAGTGTTCATATTCTGTTTGTTTAAATGTATGTTTTGACACAATGGTTTATGGATTTATAAATTTAACTTGTGGTTTGTATGAATTACTTTGTTTTCGAATAAAAAGATGTGACAAGAAAAACTCGAAATTGCCATTGTCAGTAAAGGAATGTGTACAGCTACACATCACTATTCTTCAGATTTTAAACAACGTTAAAACATTTTTTATGGGTGCAATTACAATTATGTTTGTATTTACACTATCTGTCATCTGTAGTGGGATTTTTGTCGTAACTGAGGTTATTTTAAAAATTTACTTTACATTTAAATACAGCTTATCTTAAAGATAATAATTCGTAATATTTTTTTATTTAAATATATAAAATTTAAACTGAATAACAATATTCTTTACATTTTGAAGAAATCATCAAAACTTGATGCAGACAAGATGATTCTATTGTATTATATTTTTTGTATTGTTGCTCAATCATATATGTATTGCTGGTATGGAACAGAACTCGAAGAAAGAGTAAGCATTTAGAAAAATTGAAATGAAAATATAATTCCTTTTTTGAAAAAATATTAGGGGAGGTTGCATTTTAGCTATATACATAAAATAATATTTTTTAGATGAAAAAAGTAGCTGTTGCAGTTTATGAAATTGACTGGACATTTTCTACTCCAGCAGAAGTAAAAAGTTTAACACTTATGATTTTAATTGCTCAAAAAGGATCAACTATTTCTTATAAAGGATTATGTTCTTTAAGTAATGAAACATTTGGATGGGTAAGAGAAAATTATACAACACTTTTCAATGAAAAAGTATCATAAAATTAATTTGAATCATTAAATAAGAAGAACGTTTAAACTTGTTGGCTTTTCAGATAATTAAATCAGCATATGGAGCACTAAATGTTCTAAAAAATTATTCTAATTCTTAAAGAAATATATTTTTTAAGATAAAATTTTTTTGACTGACTACTCGTAAATAACAACTGTAATAATTAGAATATGATAAATGCAATTTAACTTACATTAACATTTAGTTATATTTTAATCTACATGGGGTTCCATACCAATTGTGCATATACCTATCTAATACTTTATTTAACATTTTTTACAAATTTTTTTTTATTTAACATTTTTTAAATTAATTATAATTTTTATTATTAATTATTCTTATAGTTATTTGTACAAAATTTGTTTACAATAATATTTTTAAGTAATGTTATTTTTTTTATGTTATCGATGACATTGATGCTTACTTTTTACTATAATAATTATCATTATGCATTATCGTTGTTTATGGTGATGGCAATTCCATTGCAATGATGATGTTCATTTTAATTTTTGGAGATGGTTTAATTTCTTTATTTACAAATTGATCCATCTGAAAGCATAACATAATTTGGAAATTTAGTTTCTGTTTTAATATAATTTTTTATTAAATAATAAAGTTTTTTTAAATAAAAAAATTTACCTTTTTTTTCTTCATTTGGTACTGCTATAGTTCAATATCATCATCTTCAGGTAAGAATACATAATTTTCTTCCGGTATTCCCATTTCAAAATCAATAGGTGATGGCGAAGAAGTTGGACTAAAATTATCCCTTTCTATTTGATCATCATCATCAGTATCATGATGAATATCATTGCCTTCGTTATAATTTCTTGTAAATATTACTGTTTCCGCTTCACTGTCGTAATCCACGTCCTGCTGCATTTCTTGAATATTGTCAGAGTTATCCAAAATAATGAATCCTTCGATGTTGTCCTCCTCGTCCTCCATTGATTCGGTTTTGATAGATTTAGATTCGAATTTAATTTCTTCACTATTATTTAAACTTATTTCCCCTTCCATTGGTTTATTATCTTCAGTTTTGACGATAATGTTACCAGTTTCGCTGCTTAACTTTTGGTTTTCCATTTTTAAGCAGTTGATGTATTTTATTTGAATGTAAATTTTCTTTACCATTTCAATCACTTAAATACCCCAAATCCCCACCATTCACAAAATATCCACCTTCCCCCTCCTATAGTATCGGCGGTAAGCAATAGTGCCGCCACATCGTGTCATCTATGTTAACTTAAAGCTAATAGTGGCAAAGTTATAATAATAATTTAATTTAAAAAAAAATAACAAATTTAATTTATATATTTTAAATTTCAAAATTTTGTGTCACATTGTGATGATCAAATTTTAGTATTTTCATGAAATATAAAAAAATTATACCTATTGTGTTTTCTTGTAAACACATTTTTTTGTAGTATATATTACAAGCTGAGGCTATAGTTTTAGTCTCACTAAATGGGCATACATTTCCATACTCAATGAAAATTTTACGAAATACAACATATGCACATCGTTTTTACAGTATGAAATTAATTCATTCTGAAAATTAAAAACATATGCAGGGATGGATTTTTTTCATAGTACCATTTAATGAATTCTTTTCGCTTAATTTCTGTCATTGTATCAGGCGAATAAAATTTAATATCTGGTAAAGGACCTAAATAGCTTTCATTTTCAGGTGTATTAAATAAATGGGGAAATGTACCCTTTTTCTCCTACTCCCACTATACCAAGTGACGGTAAAGTTGATAAAGGTAAGTGGAAGTAATTGAGCACGGTGTGCTTGAATCAAGTTTAAATAAAAAGTTCTCCGAAATGGGGTTTCTCCACAGATTTTATTAATTTGGGCCTCCCTGAGTATTTTCCAATAAAAACAAAAAAAATCGGTCGGGCCGTTTTTGAATGGGGTTGATTTTTAGGGTTGAAAATCGGTAAATGTGGAAAAAAAACTTTTTTAATCAAAAATATATTTAAAAAAAAAAATTTTTTGGTCAAAAATATATTTTTTAATTAATTTGGACTATTTTAAGACGAAAATATTTCTTCTCATTTTTTTGTAAAATGCGTTTTTTAAAAATTATGATCATATGATCATGTGTTAACATAGTTAGTTGATGTGAAAGCTTAACCTAGTTAGTAGTGTTTTTTTTATTTCATCTTGCAATGTCAAACGTTAAAGATCACGCCGGAACACACGATGAAAATCGTTGTAAGATCTGCTTATTTTGTTTGAAAAAGAAAGGACGTAATGGTAAAAATATAATCATAAAAATAATCAAAGGAGGAAAAATTGAATCTTTAGTTCAATTTGTATTCAATAATTATAAGGCCGATGATAAGAGTTTACCAAACGCAGTTTGTAGGACATGTTTAGATAAGCTTTATACTTCAAAACGGAATGATACAAAATTACTCGAAGCACCAAAAGTATCTTTTAACTACAGAACCATTGAAACTAGACAATCCGAAAAAGAATCGTTATGTGATTGCTTAATTTGTCAACTAGCTCGACAGACACTTCAAAATATAGACAACATTAATAAAGCTTCGGAATCTAAAGGCATATTGAAAATAATTAAAAATCAATCTAAAGGTATATATTCAGAAGGGTTATTCACAATTTTCACATATTTTATTATGTTAATATATTTTATAAATTTCAAATTATTTTGGACATAGGTAAAGTTAATATTGAAGACAAGAGCAGCAATGAATCCAGTAGCTATCGCTGTAATGATTGTCTTTCAGTAATAGCTAGTGGTAAGTCACATCAATGCAATACTTCAACGCGTATGGAAAATGTTAAAGCACTTATATCAGAATCCCCTTCACAAGTTCAAAATCAAATTATTTCCTCAGTTTTGAAAACAAAAATTTCCAATGAAAGCCAGAATACAATATCTTTGAGTCAGCAGCGTGGTAAACCATTAAAAGTTATTGTAAAACCACAAAACTCTAATACAAAGAGTATTAATGAACCGATTGTAACAGCAACTGTCTTTAAAAAACTTCAAAATAAATATGGACTTTCTCAAAATGTCGTGACAGGAATTGCAAAAGATTTGCGCATTGCTACTAAAAATCGAAAATTTATCGAACCTAATTTAAGGCAATCTCTTTCTGATACCATTCACTTAGTAGACTCATTTTTTGACTTAAAAGTTTATACATTTAAAAAAACAAAAGGCAAAGAAAATTCCGAGTTGCCTGCACCAGCTGTGTACTGCAAAAATTTATGTGATTTAATCGAATATGTAAAAGAAAAACGCAATATTTCAGACGCTTGCTTAAAATTTGGTATTGATGGTGGAGGAGGATCTCTAAAAATTTGTATGTCGATTCAATCTAATGAGAGTGAATTGGAACCGAGCCCGAAAAAAAGACAAAAATATTCAGAAGATGTTGCTTCCAAATCATTTCAAGATTCCGGTGTTAAAAAGCTAATCATCCTTGGTTTAGTTGAGAACGTCCAGGAAAATTATGGTAATGTAAAAAATTTATGGTTTGATATAGGAATTGACGACGTGGATGGAAAAATTGCAGCTGATATTAAATTATGTAATATAATGGCTGGCATTATGTCTTCGAGTAGTAGTCATCCGTGCACTTGGTGTGATGTTTTAAAAGGATCTCTTAGTGAATCTTCTACTTTGCGCACAATCAAAAATATAAAAGCAAACTATACTGATTGGGTTCATGCTGGCGCCAAAAAAGAATTTGCCAAAAAATTTAAATGTTGCATTTCCCCACCAATATTTAATGTTGACCAAGATAAAACTATGCTTGATATAATACCACCACCAGAACTTCACTTGTATTTGGGAGTAGTAAATGGTATATTCAATCATATGGAAAAACAGTTTGGGAGTACAGCTTTATCCTGGGCAAAAAATTGCAATGTTGAGCGTCAAGTTAAGTACAGAGGCGAAAGTTTTAATGGAAATAATTGCAGGCAGTTATTAAATAAATTAGATGATTTACGTCGTATTTGCCCTATAGGATGTTTGAAGTATGTGCAAGTTCTTAGTGATTTTCGAGCTGTTGCTAATGCTTGTTTTAGTAATATTTTAGATCCTAATTTTGCAAAGTACATAGATAATTTTAAAAAAAGCTATTTAGAATTAGAAATCTCCATAACACCCAAAGTGCATTGCATTTTTTATCATGTTAAAGAATTTTGTGAAAAACATAATGTTGGCTTAGGTGTATTTAGCGAACAAGCCTTTGAATCTGTTCATCATGAATTTAAAGTTATATGGAACAAATACAAAGTTCACTCGAATCATCCCGATTATGCTAAGCGCTTGTTGCGAGCCGTTTGTGAATTTAATGGTCTTCATATATAATACTCTTTTTATATTATATTAGAATTTTTCATTCAAACGGACGTTAATTTTATTGTTGACTTGATAAAATAAATAATTTCCATGCTTTAAATTACAAATCTTGTTATTTATTGTAGTTCTGTATTATAATCTAAATTTCTTTATAGTTGAATAAAACAAAATCTAAATTTATAAAGAAAATACTTAAACATTTTGAAATACTCATAATTTTTAAAAAAACGCATTTTACAAAAAAATGAGAAGAAATATTTTCGTCTTAAAATAGTCCAAATGAATTAAAAAATTTATTTTTGACCAAAAAAGTTTTTTTTTTAATATATTTTTGATTAAAAAAGTTTTTTTTCCACATTTACCGATTTTCAACCCTAAAAATCAACCCCATTCAAAAACGGCCCGACCGATTTTTTTTGTTTTTATTGGAAAATACTCAGGGAGGCCCAAATTAATAAAATCTGTGGAGAAACCCCATTTCGGAGAACTTTTTATTTAAACTTGATTCAAGCACACCGTGTGAGACTATCTATGGAAGTAGTGCGAGCTACAGTCATAGAAATGATTTTTGTCCCTATTAAAATAAGTTCGGGTTTCTTTCTCCTATAAGCTTTGATGATTTGCAAGGTTATTGAAAATAAATTGAGCATTGTGGGCAATGCAACTAATTTTTAAATTTTAATGCAAAAAATTATTTGCATCGCCGTTATTTTTATTCGGTACATGATCCCGTACCTTCGACATATAACAATCATGATTGAATTTTTGATCACTT